GTAAAAGCATAAAATAGTTATACATAGTATTTATGACACTATGAGAAATTCTGATAAAAGTATATAATTTTCAGTGAAGCTCTTCTTTATCTAAATTAGGAAGGATCAGAATGGGCAGTCTGTTAATTCCCAGGTCTTTACTTGATTCAGTCTATCAGATTCTATGGCATAGGACAGACTTCATTAATTCATACTTTTAATTTTATGAGGCATAGTTAACTCTAAGGTTGGCAGGATAATCACCCAAATATGGTAGGCTAGCATGATGGAATGCTCCAATAAGAAGGCTTTTACCCCAAACACATCAGAGGAAGGTTTTGCTCTGTGGAGAGGTATTTCCGCCAAATCGGGATGGGAACTCTATGTTCAAGAAGCTCAAGCAGGCGGTAGAGGATAATGAGAAGAACAAAGGCTTTGGAGCCAGACAGGCAAGGGCTCCAGACCCAGCTCTGCCATTTTCCTAGCTGCAGGACACTGGGAAAGACACTTCTCTTCTGAGCTTCAGCTTTATCTTAGGACTGCTGTGAGGATTAAATGAGATAATGCACGTAGAAAACTTGGCACAATGCCTGGCACATCTTAAGTTCTCAATAACTGATGGCTTATAGAACAAAACAAAACAAAAAACAAGCAGACAAAAACCCCTGACCTTAGCCCTCTTGTCATGTACATGAGTAACCAGTCCTAAAGAATGGAACTTATTACTTTGAAAAAAGGCAAGGAACCATGTGAACATTTCCTTTTGGAGAACTGTAGTCAGTTTCTTTCCTGTTTGACCTATCAGTGGGTGAGAATGAAAAAATTAAGAGACACACAGCCCAACTGCAAGTGACATGACCCCAAACACAATGACCCCAACAGGCTCACTCCTCTAAATATGTCACAAGAAACAATGAAAGTCACCATATTCTTATGGCCTTTAAATACTTAGGGAGTCATATTATATGATACAAAAATTATAACCCGTTTTTCTCTTTCCTGTTAAAAAAATAATACAAATGTTCCTAAACATTTGGAAAGTTCAGAAATTTATAAAGAAGTGAGAAAAAAACCAACCCATCTATATATTCTTACCACCAACAAGCAACTGAATGTTAACAATTTAAATATATTTCCTTCTAGTCTTTTTATGCTATATAATCAATTTTATATCCCCTTTCCCTATAACATATGTTTTCCTCTCACGACATTTCTTTTATAAATCTAGTTTTTCATGGCTTCAGAATATTCTCCCAATTATAGTCATATTTAGGTTGTTTTTAATTTTTACTTATACCAACACCACTATGACCATCTTTGTGACTAAAATTTTGTCTCATTTTTTAATCCTTTTCTTAGGCTGATAAATAATAATAATGTGTATTTTCTCCTTTTTAAACATTCACATGCTTATAATTATTTGTTGACTGTTCAGTTACACTGAATCTTCGTTAACTAGATAGGTTAAATGTTATTTTACTGCTGCTTTATTATACATTTCCTTGATTACTAGTAAGGTTAAATATTTTTTCAATATTAGCCACTTATTGTACCTCTTTTATGAATTCTCCAGTCATGTCTCTTTCCTCATTTTCTATCAGGGTCTGCATGTCTTTACATAAGCTCTCTATATAAAATATACTAACAACCTAACAATTTAATTTATTATAAACATTTGCTGTATGAATTGAAACATGATTTCATACCATTTTCTCTTGATACTTATGATTTTAGTATTCCTCCCAGAGTTTAAACATGGCTGTCACTATAGTTTTCTGTTCAGGCAGCCTACCTGAGAATTTGAGCCAGAATCTTCTTTTTTGGTTTTTAGTGGTATCTTTGTGCCTACATTAAAAAAAAAGAAAAAAAAGTCAAAACATCAGATGTAAAGACCATATAGTATTAGAAATAAATTGTTCGGCCGGGGTTGGGAGTGAAAAGCCTGGGATTCTAGACCAGTCTCTCCATGTGCTGGCAATGTTACCTAGACCCGTACTGTCCTCTCTCTGGGCTTGTCCATGTACTTGTCGAGTGAAGAAGGATATACCTTGGTTATACCCTATAGTCCATTTCTGTTTAAAAGTCTTTGTATTTCTTATATGAAGATATTGCTAATTACTTCAAACACCAAAACCAGCTCTTTGAGAGAGGACCACAATAATGACTATCGCACACAAATTACCTTCAAAATCATTTTTACTTTGACCTTAAAAAGTAGGGCAGTATGGATTATTTTTCAGTTTAAGTATAATTCCATTATTTGGTTTATTTGAATCAGGACATGACATAATGAAAACACCATATTAGACATACTCACTTAAAACAGTTGCAGCAGAGGTGGGATAATCCTCAACAAGTTCCACGAAGTTTAGGGGGAAAATCCCAGTTCTGTCTCGAAGCTCTCCTCTCGCCCATTCCTCATTCACATACTCTTTAAGAATAATAATTTCTCCCTCTGAGAAACTTAACTCATCCTTCTGGTCGCCAACATATTCAAACCGAGCAACACATCTTGGGCCTCTAAACAAAACACATTTTGTGGGTTAAAGTAGAGAGTACTTTTAAAATACTCTAAATCTTTCATTCAGTCTTTCAACAAATATTTATTCTGTGTTTACTATGTAACAAAGTATACTAGGCTAATTTAAAAATTTTCCAGGAAAATAAACAAGTTATACTTTTAAACGGCAGTGCTTACTTTTTAGATGTGAACCTATTCATTCAGAAAGGCTAAAGCTCAAGGTCACAGAGTACATGAAGAATTCCAGATAAGCAGCTAGGTGGTTAGTTTATACTGCTGTGTCTTTTGATCATCTTAATTCATTACACAATCTCCCCAGTCTCCATGTATTGCATCCATGGGCCATAGCAATTCATGGCCCAGTCTGTACCTTTCAATCATAGATGCATTGAGTTTAGGAGTGCTGACCTGGAGAATCTCGGGGCAAGATAGAAAACTTCCTGACAAGAATCAGGGCAGAATGTAATGGGCATCAGCAGGGCAGAGTAAATGCTCAATACATGCTGACTCAATCAGTGAGTTGGCCTGAAAAACCAGGAGGTTTGAAGAAAACAGAAACTTGGCATATCATAATACATAATCTTATACCTAACTCTGTTGCTTTTAAAAATGATTTTTGGGGGCTGGGTGCCATGGCTTACACCTGTAATCCTAGTACTCTGGGAGGCCAAGGCAGGAAGCTCGCTTAAGGTCAGGAGTTCGAGACTAGCCTGAGTAAGAGATCCCATCTCTATAAAAATAGAAAAAATTAGCTGGATGTGGTGGCATGTGCCTGTATTCCCAGCTACTTGTTAGGCTGAGGAAGGAGGATCACCTGAGTCCAGGAGTCGAGGTTGCAGTGAGCTATGATGATGCCACTGTACTCTAGCCAGGGTGATAGAGCAAGATTCTGTCTCAAAAATAAATAAATAAATTAATTAATCAAATCAAATGATTTTTGTATCTTCTTTAAAAAGGCTTCATTTCTGAGACTTGGAATAATCCTTACATGATCTGCAATTTTGACTGAAAATCAGATAAAAGCAGAGATAAAACTGTATCTCTAGAAGGTATGATTTAATACCAAACCTTCAATTTGAGGCTTTAGAAAGGAAGTTCCAATAGCAACAGGCTAAGGAGAAGCAATTGCCTAAAGAGAAAAGGTTGATTGTAGTTCCAGTCAAATACTGATTTAAGTCAGGTCAATGGAGCAACGGCTGTAAAAGCCCACTTTAAATTCAGCTGGCTGACACAGCACACGCTGCTTAAAAATAGGAGAAAAACTGAACCTGAAACAGAATTCAACTATTGTAGCATCAGAAGTTTTATTATTTGTGATAACCTTTGCATTTATTTTCTAAAGTCCTCTGGGAGCATCTCCTTATTACAGTCTTCAGCAGGTAGTGAATTCTATTAATTTGCTCATTTAACTCGAATATAAAATTGCATTGTGGCAATATTTATTTATTTATTTATTTTAAGACAGAGTCTCACTCTTG